CTTTTACAAACAAAATGATTTACTCTCAACAGTGGCATAACAATAACCATAGCAAATAAAAAAATATATAGGATGAAACCAGCCTATATCCCCGTGCTAAAGAAATGATGACAGTGTTAACATACGAAAATAAAAAAAAATATTAAACAAATAATTAAATATTTAAACAAAGCTGCAATTTTAAATAACAAAAAAATCCTCTGATGAAGTTGGATATGATGAAACGCATCAGGGCTTGACCATCCATGACGTCAGCACGCACACCGGGACCACATGGTGAGAGCACGTGATCGTTGTTTAATATCTCAGTTACCAGTGTGCGGTGAGACTGTCACTAGCTGCTGTGAGCGGTGGCTATCTTATTGGAAGTATATATACAATGTGCATTACCATGTTACTCAATGTGAGTGCTTTTCTAAAGGAGGGGATTTCTATGGCAATAAATGATTGTTTTTAAGGTATCACACTATGTGGCTGTTTTATTTTGCCTACATATGGAATTGATATTTCCCAATCTGAATGAGGAGGAGATCAGAGTATGAGATACTAATAATCTATTGATTAGAGGTTCTTTTGGGATGCTGGCTGATTATCAAGTTTGAGATTTTACAGCCACACATTATTAAGGAGATTGATTGAATTCCTACTAATTTTCCACTGCTGGTTACTCACCAGCTTCTGGTGAGTATTGAATTCAATGGGGTGGTAATCACTGCAGGATCACATGGATGGTGGATCACTTTGTCTTAGAGAGACGCTTACCACTGGAATGAATTGGACTTTTCACATTATATTTTTTATTTATTATATTTTTTGGTGGAAGTTTTTTTCTTTCTTTTATCCTTCTATATTAATTGGATATCGTGTTTTGACATAGCACTGTTTATGTGTACGTTTTTAGTCACTGCTTATAAATAACCATAGCAGCCTATGCAGCTGCTATGGGGCTTGGAATAGGGGTGGGTCCCCATTAGGGAGGCTGATAGAGTTGACCCCTGGACATAGTTTAATTTTAATAAATTCCCCAAAAGGCATTTGCAAACCCAAATATATCCCTATAAAAGTAATGGCTACTGTGGTAGTTGGAAAGGATAGGAGGGTTTAGTTCCACTTTAAACATACTTGCTTCTTTATAAATGTCAAGTGTTACTGTAGTAGGTTGTATATAGATGTAGAACTTCACAGACAGGATCAGGGCATCCCCAAGACATTTTATTTAACCATTTACCACCTGTGCTGTAGTCAAATGATGGCAGAGTGGGACATTCACTGTTCTGAGTGAACATCATATGGAATGTGCCTCCCTGCGTGATCTATTACCTGATGTGTCCATCGGCCACTGCCGATGCTCACTGTGACCAATCACAGCAGATCTCATGATAATAATATACAATGGATAGCTTTCATGCCATCCATTGTGTAATATTGTGTTGATCTCTGTGATTGGTCACAGTGATCACATGGTACCAGCAGCGGTGATCACATGGTGCAGACAGGGCTAATCACAGCCCATCTGTACCATATAATTAGCTGCGGCTAATTACCTAACCAAAATAGTGAAATTCACTGGCATAAGAATTCATAACGTGTAAAAAAAAAAAATCCTGATCACTTCCCCAGGGTAGTACAATGTTACCATGGTAACATTATTTTGCTCTGGTTGCAGCGTGTTAAAAAACAATGAAAAAAATATAATAAAAAATTTAAATAAAATAAAAATTGTTTAAAAAATTGTTTTTTTTTACATACTGTCACCAGTCAGTGTCCCTGATTACTTCCACACCGATTACATTGTCACTATTTTGCACTGGTGACAGTATGTAGAAGAAAAAAATCTTTTTTTTTTAAACTTGTCATTTTTCAAGAAATTGTTACAAAAAACTCTCCATGCCTCTTACTAAATACCTTGGACTTTCTACTTTCCAAAAAGGTGTAATTTGGGAGGTATTTGTACTGTCCTGGCATTTTGGGCCTCAAGAAATGAGAGAAGCTGTCAGTACATCAGGATTGATCAATTTTCATATATATATATATATATATATATATATATATATATATATAAAATAGCTTGTGGGCTCTATAACTTTCCAGACTAAATTATAAACACTGAATGGGGTTATTTTCACCAAGGAAATGTGGCATAATACAGTTTGGCCTAAATTTATGCAGAAAGATTTATTTGCAACAGAAACAAAGAAAAAAGCATTTTTCTTTCAAAATTTCCGATCTTTTTCAATTTTATTATTTAAATTAATTAATAAATACATTTAGAAAAAAAGAAAACAGTGGGAACATGTCACACTTCTACATGTTCCCACCGCTGTAGCCACTGCCCGATCCCCCCACAACAGTTTATATATTAGATTTCTACTATAAATGTTTACTCTCCTGAAGAAGCAAACATTGTTCATGAAATGTGTAGAGAGCAGATATAATCTGAGTGAAGAAATATGTAAAATATGCAATGTGGAAATGTTATGTTAATATACATTTATATTATAGGTATTAAGTTATATGTAGGATACAGTATGTGTACTGTAACAAACATCACCAGATGTATAATAATATTTTTAGGTTTTATATGGTATGATTTTTAACCAAGCTAAAGAAATGATATATTTTAAGTTATTTGAGTTTTATACACTAACGTCCCCAATTATTATATATATTTTGTTACATAGGCTTTGTGCATGAGCGATGGTGGTACGACCACATATTAGGGATACAACCATGGCTATCCATTGATATTTAGGTTGTATGTTTCATTAGATATGGTATGTTAACATTGAAGAAATTACTTCTATAAGTAGTGAAATATATTCAGAATTACAAAACAAGTCCAGCTGGATGTGGCAGATGTACACTATGCACAGGTATTGATGTCACTTTGGTGCTGAAATGTTTGAGTGAAGTTCATCCTGAAACCACCTGTTGAATTTCTTGGAAAAGTTTATTAACTTTATATCTTGGCGTGGTACACAATCTTTTTTCTATTTTACAGACTAATGTAGGAGCTTTTTGGGTTGCTGAAGGAATCACCAAGACTAGAACAAGAAGCGAGAGAATAGGAAAAGATTAACCACAACTCCAGCTGGCATTTTAGTTGTCTGTGTCTCATAGTTGATTATTCCTTTTACTTCTTTTATTGGAAAAACAACATAAAGATAGAGAAAATCTACCTAAAATGAGAAGAAATTTCCCCTAAGACTGCTGTCTTTAGAAAAAATCTTCTCTATTGAAATATATCCCCTCACCTTTTGGTGAGAACTACAAAAATATGTATTTTATGGTTGATGGATTTTCCATTACTTTCCATCCTGGTTAAAAAGACACAGGCTCCAGCCCTTCCACTCTCTCTCCAATACTAAAGTCTGGCTGGACTTGGATACAAAATGAGAATCTGAAAGACATGATTTTAAACAAGTCAAGCATTCTGCAAAATATATTATTGCTTTATAGCTTGTTGAATCACATATGTTACAGTATGTAATCTCATAATTCTGGTATTTCCCAGTAATCAAGCCCAAGGAAAGCTGGACGTGCAACATCTGGGGAAACTTTCATTTCAGAACATTTGATGGAAAAATCTATCGATTTCCGGGACTATGTAACTATATTTTGGCTTCACACTGTGGGCAACCCTACGAAGACTTCAATATACAGATTAAGCAAGGACTGGTTAATAATTTTCCAGCTGTCCTTCAGTTAGCTATAAAACTAAATTACGTGTTCTTAGAAGTTGTTGATCATGTTCCTATTATTGAAGGACAAAGGTAAATATGATTATTTTTTGGTTTACCAATGTTTTCTGTGGAAATGTATAATGTGCTGTCTTATGAGTGCAGTCACAATACAGATGTGTAGCGGACTGTCCATTTACAGTACTTACTATGCTCAGATGCAGACACAAACACCATTAACTCCATTTGCCACAACCCCCAGGGTTCCCTAACACACTCAAGGAGTATAAATTCCTGAGCGTGCTTCAGCAGTTCAGAAAGACCACACCTGATGAGGCAAAGGAAGCTTAGTAAGTGATCTGCAGCCAGGTTAGAGGCCCTTCTTTGTCATAACCAGCATGAGGGCAGCCAGGCAGGAGACTCAGCTACTGTGGGGAGTCCCTCCTAGGTTGCTGGTAGATTACTCCAGTTCCTTTGTCTCTGGACTTTGGATCCCTCTAGCTGTTCACCTGTGTGGTTATTCTCAACTGTGCTCTGTTCTTTTTCAGTCATACTGATACTATGTTACGCAGCCATATGTTACCCTGACACAGAGACATTGCTGTGAAGAACCCATGTTTGTGCAGCTTTCATGATCTGTTTTTCATTATTCTGTAGTGTACTCAAAATTTTTCCCACCCTGACCCTGTTTTACATTATTGCATACTTAATAAACTGCAAGGTACAGTTACTCCCTGTCTGATTATTTGAATAGTTATCTATTCTGTTAAAAATACTATGCTGTCACTGCTTGATAACTCAATTTCAGAGCTCCAGTGTTTTTTTTTTAATCACCCCCTTTCCCATTTATTTAACTTCCTCCCGCCCACCATATAAGGAAATAACTTAAATGAGCTCCAGGTTTTTTTTTAATCACCACACCCCCGCATTTATTTAACTTCCTCCCGCCCACCATATAAGGAAATGATGGGCGCAAGGTGGTTCTCTCGTTCTGGGAGGACGTCATATGATGTCCTCCCACTCTAACCACGCGTGCGCACCCCCGGGGCGCCAAACGCAGCGATTGGTTGTGTGCTATGTCCCTGGGATACAGCGGATGACCGATCAATGGAAAGAGCTGATGACGTCAGCTCTGTCATGTGCTCAGCTGTGTCCAATCACAGATGAACGCATGTAAATATGGTTATCGGCATTCCTCTCCTCACGAGCTGTCATGTTGACAGCTCGTGAGGAGAGGAGAGATGGTAATTTGCATTACTCAGAGGGGACATCTACACTGATCATCAGGGCACTAATGATCAGTGTGCCCTGATGATCAGCCCCATCAGTGCCACCTGTCAATGCCCATTAATGCCACCTGTCAGTGCTCATCAATGCCACCTGCCAGTGCCTCACCAATGCCACATATCAGTGCCTACCAGTGCACATCAATGCCACATATCAGTGCCCATCTGAGCTGCCTTTCAGTGCCACCTATCAGTGCCAGTCAGTGCCACATATCAGTGCTGCCAATCAGGGCCACCTATCAGTGGCAGTCAGTGCCACCTATTAGTGCCGCCTATCAGTGCGCATCAGTGTCACCTAACAGTGCCAGTCAGTGCCGCCTATCAGTGCCTTTCAGTGCCCATCAGTGATGCCCGTCAATGCCCATCAGTGCCACCTACCAGTGCCTCCTAATCAGTGCCCATCAGTGCCACCTATCAGTCCCCATCAGTGCAGCCTATCAGTACCCATCACTGCAGCCTCATTAGCGCACATCAGTGAAGGAGAAAAATCACTTATTTACAACATTTTATAACAGAAACTAAGAAAAAAACTTTTTTTTTTCAAAATTTTCAGTTGTTTTTGGTTTGTTTAGCAAAAAATAAAAAACCCAGAGGTGATTAAATATCACCAAAAGAAAGCTCTATCTGTCTCAAAAAAATGATAAAAAATTCATATGAGTACAATGTTGCATGAACGTGCAATTGTCATTGAAAATTGGCCTGGGCAGGAAGGGGGTATGAGTGCCCTGTAGGCAAGTGGTTAAAAAAAAACAGACAAAAAATTAACTCTGCTCACCCTCATTCTTTAAAGATTCCCCCTGCATCTGCTTCCAACACCCATCACTGTTCACTTCCAAGTTGAATGATGGTAAGCATTATTCAGCCTCTTCCTGAGAGTCCAGGATGTCATGGACACATCCCCATGGAAGTCACCATGCTGGCCTAAGCAGCTGCACTGATAATCCATTTGTGAGTGTGTGCAGTGTGGTTCGGAGGCAGTGAATACAAAGAGTCCGGTTGCAATAAACACAATTATATTGAAAAAATTCAACAATACAAACAACCCAGTGGGAAGGCACCCAAATGTGAAAACTCACAGGATGTCTGGCAAGGTAGAACTGAGCAGTTCTTGAGAGTGCTGACAGCGACTGTCCCAGAGAACATAATGCGGCGTGGCAGGGCTGCACCCAAGCAGGAGGATTCCAAGAAAGCATTTTCTTAGCCTGTCCCTACTCACCAGGAAACTCTCCCTATCGCTAGTCACGGTCTTTAACAGACAGGAGATCTTTCCCTATCCTGTCCACTCACAAAAATGTGTGCCAAGCCTGGGAACCAGGGTCTTAAATAGACTGTGTCAGACCCAAGATGGCTGCCAGAGTCACATGGGACAGCAACATCAAACTGGATCGCTTCCCAGTGACCCAGGAAACCTGTGCGAAATACAAGGTGAGTTCCTGCACATATTCTCTGACAAAAAACCCCTGTCCATATCTGGAGCTAAAGCTTTTTTTTTTATTTTGTTTTGGAATGGTGAAGGATTAGAACTCAGGTTTGAGGCCCCATTGTAGAGATTCCTTCACTTCTGTTTGTTGAGAGCTCATTTACAAGGGCAGAGAAAATGGTGTATTTTAGATGCATACAGAAGATAGTTTTGTACACATCTAAACACAGAACTATAGTAATCAATGAGCCAGTGTTACTTTTGTTGACAAAAATATTTTTGTTATAGTTTTCGTCAGCTGCATGTTTTCAGTGACAAAAACTAAAAGAAAATAAAATTCAGTTTCACTACAGATGTCTAAATTACGACTAAAACTAACGGTATTTTAGTCAAAAGACTATGACTAAAACTAAATCGAAATTTCATGTCAAAAATGGTCAAAAAGCAATATTCTTTTTTTTTTCTTGAAAGTTGGTTTTATTTATAAAGATGTTACGTGATACTTGTTTTCATTATTAACAGAGAACTGTTAAAGTTTTTATGTTCAGGTAATATGTACAATGGCATTACAGCCAATAGAATTTACAGTTTTTTGGGGGTTTTTTTTAGATTTTAAAGTTGCACTTTTGTTTGTCAAAAAGCAATATTTTTGTGTCATTATACTACTGTAGGTTTTAGTTGACTAAAATACAACTAAAACTAAAACAATTCAGATAACTAAAATACAACTAAAATTGAATTTTAACCAAAAGACTATGACTAAAACTAAATTGAAATTTGACGTCAGCATTAATACTGCAGTGAGCTCATACACACAGGGCTCATTTACATTGGCAGAAAAAAAAAGGTGTACAACTGATATTCTTGTGTGCATTTAAATGCAGCACTATAGTAAGCAGTGATCCCATACACACATTTGTGACTACATACAAAAATCCCATTCCAACCAAAATGACTGCAAAAAAGTTCTGGGTATAAATACACTCTAATTACCTTGACCAATTCACAAAAAGATAGCTTTAAATGGCCTTAGATACTTAAACTGTATATTTACTAGTAGAAAGTACAAGGAGAATAAAATGATACATTTAGCTATATTTATCTCGAATAACCTAAATAGGGTCCAGATAAATTAACCAGGATCTCATATCTTTTGTTTGTGGTCCATGTTTTGATTTTTCTAGGTTACAACTTCCATACAGCAAAAATGGTATATTTATAGAATATTCTGATGATGTTCTGAGGATCAGAAGTACAATAATGTTAGAAAATATTATGGGGACAAGATAACAACATTGAAGTAAGTATATACTGCATATATTTGAGGAAAAATAATGATGCAAGCTGAAAAATTGATGAGGTCATAGAAAATAAGCACTGGTTAGGCAATTCCAGTAAGGAAGATGTTTCAGAAGCGTTTACTACATATCTAGCTAACAAAACTTTCCGAGAGATAGAGCGATGAGAAAGGCGCATGAAAACATATGGCCAAATTTAAATGTCTAGAGCTGTCAAAAACTTTGTCTAACACAGTCATTTTAGTTATTGTAATATTTCTCATAGCGCCTAAAAACATTGTCTTTGGATGGGTATATAAGGGAACCTTTGAGGGCACAAATGTGGGAAATGTCATTGCTGCCATATTTAAAAAAGGTATTGTCCAAGCTATGGGATTGGCATAAAGTATAAAATACAGCTGAAGGACGAAACTGAGGAAGGTGAGGCAGAGCCTGTGGTCTGGTCTTTGTTTAACATATTGCACTCCAAATGTTAGCTGGAAAATAATTTTTTCATAAAAAAATTAAATTTTAGGATTTTTCTCTAGGTAGATTCTTGAAAAGCAGCTTTGGTTAGCTAATTTTTTTGGTTATACTTTTAATGTTTTATTGCTTTACTTGACCTAGTTCAGGAACTTTCACCACACTTTCTGTCACTCTGACACCCTTGTGACATCAGAACAATAAATGAGAGAGAGCAGGAGCCATTGGCTCTTGCTGCTGTCAATCAAATGTGGTGAAAAGGAAGTGGGAGGTGGGGTTACGTCCCACTGTGAATGTCTATGAAGCACAGCTCTGTAGACACACAGGTCGGGAGCGAGCATGCAGCATGTGTCCTCATAGCAAACGGCTTGCTATGGGGACACACAAAGAAGAGGAGGGACCAGGATCACCTGTGGGAGACTCAAGAAGAGGAGGATCGGGGCCGCTCTGTGTAATACCACAGAGCAAGTGAATATAACATGTTTGTTATTTTAGTTAAGAAAAAAAAAACTGTCTTTAGGTAACCCTTTAATTACATTTGTTTGTCTTTTCTGTCTGCTGCTTTGTTCCTCTGCTATCAGCTTGAATCATTTCTGACAAGTTTTCCCAACATCAAAAGAAAAATGGTGATGGTAGAGATTGACACCCTCAGTTCTGTTCCTCTGTGCTGTGTGAAGGGGGGGGTCCCTTCCCTCCAATCACCCCTCACTGAGCTCTGCAGAGTGTGATTTTAGCTCTACATCCCCTTTTTTTCTGAATTCTCAGACAAGCTTTAAAAATTCAGCAATTTGAATGAATATATAGAGAAGAGAATCCTGCAGATAAACAGGTACAACTTATGTAGAAGGATTTGTTTCATCTCTGTGTATCACCTGAGTCCAGTCATTTCACTGGGTATATGTAAAGGTTTATGACCATTTTAAAGCTAATCTCCACCTTTCGCTATTTCCTGGCTACTATTCCTCTTTGTATAATATCTAGGATACCACAAGTCCTTTTTCTCCTTATGATCTAATTGTCTCATGATACTGTACTATCATCTTTGGATTAGAAAATGTGATCATCTCATGATTTACCATTCACTAAAGATCTACAAAAACGTTAAGGCTCCAGGATTTTGCACCTGAAGTTTCCACCATTCTTCTTCACACGTTATATTTTGTTTCTGACCGTTTCCCTTTAACCCCTCAATCCTTAGCTGCTCAGATTTGAGTAATTCTAATGCCAGGCAAAGATGGTACAAATCCTGGAAGTCATTGCCCAATTTCCTTGTTCAATTGTGATATCAACTTACAGTATATCCAAAAGTCTAGCTTTTCAATTGATATAATGTTATCCACAGTCATACATAATGATCAAGTAGGGTTTATCAGCTAGAGGGTAGATCTCATACAGGTAGGATCATTAATTTCATTGCCCAAAAAATAAATATAAACTATATCTTTCTGTCCATTGACACAATGATACGAAACACATCAGCAAGTCCACCTCTGAATGGTTAAGAAAAAAAAATTAAGGTTTTGGAATGGCCTAGTCAAAGTTTGGACTTAAATCCGATTGAGATGCTGTAGCATGTCCTTAAACAGGTTGTTTATGCTCGAAAACCCTCCAATGTGGCTAAATTAAAATGATTCTGCAAAGGAGAGTGGGCCAAAAAATCGCTCCACAGCAATTTGAAAGACTTATTGTCAGTTATTGCAAATGCTTGGTTGCAGTTGTTGCTACCAACGGTGGCACAACCAGTTATTAAGTTTAAGGGGCAATTACTTTTTCACATAGAGCCAGGCATGTTTGGACAGCTTTTTTCCCTTAATGAATTAAAATCATCATTTAAAAAAAGCATTTTGTATTTACTCTGATTATTTTTGTGTAATAATAAATTTGTTTGATGATATGAATCATTTAAGTGTAACAAATATGCAAAACAAAAAAATCAGGAAGGGGCAAATACTTTTTTCACAGCACTGTATAGCAGTAGCAGACAATAACGTCATAGGTGGGTCACAACACCAATGACAGATATGTTCCAGAAGTGTAGACAGTCAAACTGGAGAGAGAGATATTTTTTTCCAGAGGGGGCTGTATGTTTTCCAAGCCATTAGCACTGTACTTCTTGTATTCACTGTGCGGCCTTGGCCTGTATTATTTCTCCCCCAAAGGATTGGAGACTTTTTAGGCTCAATATCTACTTACTGGAGTCAAAGATGATACAGTCATGAATTTCCCTGCTGCAACCTCTCACCTTTAAGGGCTTGTTTACACTTTCTTCAAAATGTGGCATTGGACATGCTTTTTTAAAGTACTCTCAATGCCACTCAAAGCATCTGCCACT